CTTGTGGGACCCTATCGGGAGTGTGTCCAAGCCTGGGGCCCCTCAGCATGGGAGGGACATGGAGGTCTTGGAGAGGGTCCAGAGGAGGGCCACAGGGATGATCAGAGGGCTGAAGCACCTCCCTTGTGGGAGGCAGTTGAGGGAGCTGGGCTTGCTTGGCTTGGAGTGGAGAGGGCTCTGGGCAAAGCTCATTGCAGCCTTCCAGTACTTGAGGGGAGTTTGTAAGCTGGAGGAGGAGTGACTGTTCACAGGGGTTGACAGTGACAGGTCAAGGGGGAATGGTTTTAAACTGAGAGAGGAGAGGTTTGGGTTGGATACTGGGAGGAAGTTTTTCACTCAGAGGGTGGTGAGGCACTGGAACAGGTTGCCAGAAGAAATGTCTTATGATGAGCAGCTGAGGACTCTGGGTTTGTCTAGTTTGGAGAAGAGGAGGCTGAGGGGCAACCTCATTGCTCTCTACAGCTTCCTGAGGAGGGGAAGCAGAGAGGGAGCTGCTGAGCTCTTCTCCCCGGGATCCAGTGACAGGACGCGTGGGAATGGCTCAAAGCTGCATCAGAGGAGGCTTACAGTGGGCCTTAGGAAGTATTTTTTCACCGAGACAATGGTTAAACACTGGAACAGGCTTCCAAGAGAGGTGGTCAATGCCATGGGCCTGTCAATTCCTTAGAAAGAGGCATTTGGCCAATGACCTTAATAACAGGCTTTAACATTTGGTCAGCCCAGGAGTGGTCAGGCAGTCAAACTAGATGACCGTTGTGGGTCCCTTCCAACTGGAACTGTTCTATTCTCTTCTTCCCCACTTTTTTGAGGGCTTGGTGGAGGAGCCTATTGATTTCACTCTTAGAAATTTCTTGGGCAGGGGCAATAATTTCTCAGATACCAGAAGTGATATATTAATTATGTAGACAACCTCTTTCATATCTGACAATCTCATCTGTTTAACTCTTCACATAATTGTTAATTCACTCAGAACTAGTTTAAAGCTTGTCTCGTATATGCATTCCTCTATTCTCTATGGAGTTGCTGTACAGATAAAATTGCAACAGTCCTATGTTGCAATACGTTGCAATTCCTCCCTTCCACACCTGAAATAGTTTCTCTGCTAAGGATTCATGTGCCTGGGGGCTGCTGGAACAAAGTAAACAAAACTGCAGCAGTGAGGAAGGAAGGCAGAGAGGAAAGAAAATGGTTTGCGGAGAGGCCAGACTACTTGACATACTGCTTATCCCATATACACTTTTCTGTCTCTCTACAGGAAACTCATGGGCACAGGTGCTGAGCACAGAAAATTCTTGAGCCAAGGCAGACTGCCAGGGCAGGGAGAGAAATTCAAGAAAAAAATATTCTATTCAGTTACATGACTATATAGGGTAGGGAATCCTAAAGCCCTCTCTTT